TTGCTGATACATTCCTCCTAGAAAAAAGGGTGGAGAGAGCAGCCCTCACTAGAGAGTATCACAGGGCTGACTGTACTACCCAACACTCTGCTCCAGTTTTACAGGAGACTGTCTTTGCTAAATTTCTTAATGACTTATTTCAAAGACTGAGGATTTAATTATATATTCTGTTTAATCTGAGGTATTCTGTTCTTCCTGCAGATGCATTATGTTCAAGATAAATTGTTTGTGGGTCTGGAACATGCTGTGCCCACTTTTAATGTCAAGGAGAAGGTAGAAGGTCCAGGCTGCTCCTATTTGCAGCACATTCAGATTGAAACAGGTGCCAAAGTCTTCCTACGGGGCAAAGGATCAGGTTGCATTGAGCCAGCATCTGGCCGAGAAGCTTTTGAACCTATGTATATTTATATCAGGTAAGGATATAGGGCAGGAGACCTGTGAATTCTTGTCAGCTTGTTGGTACAGACAGGAGTGATTCAGAAGGAGCAATAGCAAAATGAATGTAATTATAACAAGGGATTTAGGTAAATGCTAGGAGTAATTTATAATTAGTTAATAGAAATTGTTGAATTCGGGCATTGTGGTTCATTCCAGTAATCCGAACACTTCTGGAGGCCAAGGCAGAGGTCCACTTGAGCCCAGGAGTTTGAGGTCAGCCTGGGCAACATGGCGAAACCCCATCTCTACAAAATTTTAAAAAGTAGCCAGGTGTGGTGGTGCACACCTGTAATACCTGCTGCTCAGGAGGCTGAGGCAGGAGGATGACTTGAGCCCAGGAGGTCAAGGCACTGCGCTCCTGACTGGAGGAGTGGGGAAGGGGAAGGAGATGGGGATGGAAGTCAGGGGAAGGAAGGAAGGAAGGAAATTATTGAATTAGGAAGACTGAATTGTTTCTAGAAGGAAGGGAGAGAGGGAGGGAGGAAGGTGTTATATTAGGAGATGGAATTGTTTCTTTAGTACTCAAGTCCTTTGGTTTTTGTACAAGTCTGTATGAAAGTGAATCTTAAAGTGAGCTGTGATAAGCCTGAAATAATTTTTATTTAAATCTATGTCAACATTAATAGATTTTATAGTAATTTTATGAACTTTAAATATTTTTATGCTGGCCGGGTGTGGTGGCTCACACCTATAATCCCAGCACTTTGGGAGGCCAAGTTGGGTGGATCACGAGGTCAGGGATCGAGACCATCCTGTTCAACATGGTGAAACCCCGTCTCTACGAAAAATACAAAAATTAGCTGGGCATGGTGGCATGTGCCTGTAGTCCCAGCTACTCGGGAGACTGAGGCAGGAGAATTGCTTGAACCCAGGAGACAGAGGTTGCAGTGAGCCAAGATCGCGCCATTGCACTTCAGCCTGGGTAACAAGAGTGAAACTCTGTCTAAAAATATATATATATATATATTTTTTTATGTTAAGAAATACCATTACTCAGAGAATGACTGTTAAAATACTTGTGGTAGCTGGGTGCAGTGGTTCACATCTGTAATCCCAGCACTTTGGGAGGCTGAAGTGAGCAGATCACCTGAGGTCGGAAGTTCGAGACAAGTCTGACCAACATGGAGAAACCCTGTCTCTACTAAAAATAAAAAAATTAGCCAGGCGTGGTGGCACATGCCTGTAATCTCAGCTACTTGGGAGGCTGAGGTAGGAGAATTGCTTGAATCCAGGAGGCAGAGGTTGCGGTAAGCTGAGATCGTGCCATTGCACTCCAGTCTGGGCAACAAGAGCAAAACTGTCTCAAAAGAAAAAAAACTAATTTATTTTTTGTGGTAATGATAGTAGTTATATCTGAAAAGACTTATGATGTTATTTTGTATTTGTTTTGTGATCTTCAGAGGCCTAGATTTGAGCTAGTGAATATATTAATGTAAATTTATAAAACAGCATGAAAAATGAAAGCAGAATTCTGCATCTTTGATTTATTTTTCTCTTTTTAATTTCTGGTTATTTATTTGCAGTCACCCCAAACCAGAAGGTCTGGCTGCTGCCAAGAAGCTTTGTGAGAATCTTTTGCAAACAGTGAGTTGTATTTGTCTGATACTCATTCAGAAGAGGTATTGCCATTTTGGAGTATGTCTTAGATATTTCTTTCACCTGTTTAGTTTCCTAGTACTGCTATAATAAGTTACTGCAATTGCGTAGATTAAAATAACACAAATTTATTCTATCACAGTTCAGGAAGCAGAGTCTGAAATTGAGGTGCTGGCAGAGTTGGTTCCTTCTGGAGTCCTTGAGAGAGAAATCAAGGCCTCTTCTCCCTCCTAGCACCTGGTCATTGTGTTGGTTTTCTTTGGCTTATATTAGCTTAGCTCCAGTCTAAAGGGTAGAGCTCTAACAATTTAAAACCAATTAGACCTGTGTGGGGGATGATTGCTTATTTGATTATTCATTATTTTTATTCTTTGAATAAATAACCAAAAGTTAAAACTTAGGACTGTCTTTATAGCACTTAAAGAAAATCAGGTTTTGTATTGAATACGTTCAACCTTGTGTTCTCTGGCGCCTTGTTGGGTAGCTCATGGTTGTGTCTGTTTTTTGTTTTGCTTTTGTACATATCACCTGATTTACCAACCCTTGTACTGGGTAATTTTCCCATCTTTTAATTTGTTGGTACTTGAGGTTATGGACTTAATATATAGGGAGGAAGTATGAGGAAAATACTAAACCCTTATTAAACTGTGAACTCCTTGAGGACAAATCACCCAGTAAATGTGAATGAATGCGGTCTCACCAGTTATACTAACAACTTAGAAATTTCCTAGTTACTTTATTTCTGTGGCTTTCTAAGTGATTTTATGCCCCAGAATTGAGTCTAGTTTAGGGGATTCAGGATTATTCATGCTTCTAATTCCCAAAATTGGCTTAATAATTTATAGATCTGCCTTATTAAAATGTTGAGGTTGGCTCACGCCTGTAATCCCAGCACTTTGGGAGGCCGAGGTGGGTGGAACACAAGATCAAGAGATCGAGACCATCCTGGCCAACATGGTGAAACCCCGTCTCTACTAAAAATACAAAAATTAGCGGGGCATGGTGGTCGCATGCCTGTAGTCCCAGCTACTCGGGAGGCTGAGGCAGGAGAATTACTTGAACCCGGGAGGCCGAGATTATGCCATTGCACTCCAGCATGGAGCCTGGAGACAGAGTGAGACTCTGTCTCAAAAAAAAAAAAAAAATTGAGGTTGCAGTGATACAAGACTGCCCCAATGCACTCCAGCCTGGGCGACAGCGAGACTCCGTCTCAATAGAAAGGGGGAAAAAAATGTGGGTTAAACAAGTTTAAATTTGACTGGAACATGGGTAGATATATTTTAATTCCTGATTGCTTTGGTCCTAGAGTCATATAATCAGATGATTGTAAATACACAGCTTGGGCTGTCCCACGTTAATTTGTTTCCCTCTCTCTTTCAGGTTCATGCTGAATATTCTAGATTTGTGAATCAGATTAATACTGCTGTACCTTTACCAGGTGTGTACATCTTGACGTGTTTAAAAAATATTTTGCTAGTATAGTTATGTGTAACTGTGTTACTTGAGGCCAGACTAATTGTGCCAGGGCACTATTAATGTTCCCTTTAATTTAGGGTAATTTGGAAAGCCATTCATGCCTCAGTATTTTTCTTCCCTAGATAGTAAGTTTAATGTTCAGATAAATTGTCTCATTCTGCTGCAGCTGATTAAACGCTTTTTTTCTTCCCCCTCAGGCTATACACAACCCTCTGCTATAAGTAGTGTCCCTCCTCAACCACCATATTATCCATCCAATGGCTATCAGTCTGGTTACCCTGTTGTTCCCCCTCCTCAGCAGCCAGTTCAACCTCCCTACGGAGTACCAAGCATAGTGCCACCAGCTGTTTCATTAGCACCTGGAGTCTTGCCAGCATTACCTACTGGAGTCCCACCTGTGCCAACACAATACCCGATAACACAAGTGCAGCCTCCAGCTAGCACTGGACAGGTAGGATGCCAGGATATATGCAACAAGATATTCCTGAATTTAGGAAAACCTGGAGAAAGGTGAAGTGGTGGCATTCCAGAAATAAATCGTGTAATGTGGAATGTCTTTTTCCTGCTGTCTTCTGTGTTCCCACCACCAGCCTACCTGAATATTTTGGATAAGTGTATAGTTGTGTATGTCATCCTAAAGTGTATATTTTCACAATTCTTGCATACCAAATAGCTGTTTAAAGTGGGGGTGGTAGGCAGACTTGCTATAATAGGTCAGATGGTAAATATTTTAGGCTTTAATATACCTTCTCTGTCACAACTACTATACCCTGTTGTTGTAGTGCAGAAGCAGCCAGTGGCTAATACCTCCGTGAATGAGCATAGCTGTACCACAACAGAACTTTATTTACAAAGCAGGTGGCAGGCCACAATCATAGTCTGCCATTTCCTTGGCCATTGTTTGCCTAACCTTGCCTTTGAGTGGTAACAAAGTCCTCAAGGAAAATGGGGCTGCTTACACCACATCTCTCAGTGATTGGAATTGAGTTAGCAACTCAGATCTTAGAAAGAAACATAATCCCAGGATTTTGGGAGGCCGAGGCAGGAGGATTGCTTTAGTGCAGGAGTTTGAGACCAGCCTAGGCAACATAGTGAGACCCCATCTCTACAAAACATCAGCTGGGCATGGTGGTGCATACCTATATTTCAGTTACTCAAGAGGCTGAGGTGGGAGGGTCCCTTGAGACTAGGAGTTCATAGAGGCAGTGAACCAAGATGGTACCAGTGCACTCCAGCCTGGGTGACAGAGTGAAACCCTGTCTCAAAAAAAAAAAAAAGAAAAAAACATTATGTAGGTGTTATATGAGACATATAAACTTTTCAAATTTAAGGATTATAAATGCTGGTATGTTTCCTTTCAGAACTTAAGAAATGTATACTTATAATTTCTTAAACATGAAAGTAGAATTTTAGGAAAAGAGTAGATGTCTGGATAATAATCTGGATGCATTATATGCCAGTCGTGGAGGCAGGGGAGAGACTTAATGAGAGCATGGTAATGGATTTATGGTGGGTCCTTCTCTGTGGGCCTCTCATAGTGGACCCATGCCAGAGTAAATGGCAGCCTCGAACCATTGCCCAGCCCCTTACCTATGAGCTGTGAGCACTGAAGAGGGTTGCACAGTATGTAACAAAAAAACAGCTATGAACTAAATTTTGTTTGTGGTCCCTAGTCAGGTTTATTTTATTTATTTATTTTTATTTTGAGACATTCTTACTCTGTCGTCTAGGCTGGAGTGCAGTGGCGTGATCTTGGCTCACTGCAACCTCTGCCTCCCGGGTTCAGGTGATTCTCTTGCCTCAGCCTCCTTAGTAGCAGGATTACAGGTACACGCCACCACGCCCAGCTAATTTTTGTATTTCTAGTAGAGACGGGCTTTTGCCATTTTGGTCAGGCTGGTCATGAACTCCTGACCTCAGGTTATCCGTGGCCTTGGCCTCCTGGAGTGCTAGGATTACAGGTGTGAGGCACTGTGCCAGGCCAAAATTATTTTAATTTTTATATTTAGACAGCTCTATAGGTCTCTGCTTTAAGTGTCAGTCCTTTGTAATTGGGAAGCTATACAGCAGCATGGTTAAAAGCAGGGAGTTAAGGCAGGCGTGGTGGCTCATGTCTGTAATCCCAGCAGTTGGGAGGCCGAGGCGAGCAGGTCACTTGAGGTCAGGAGTTCGAGAACAGCCTGGTCAACATGGTGAAACCACAACTCTACTGAAAATACAAAAATTAGCTGGACATGGTGGCGGATGCCTGTAATCTCAGTTACTCAGGAGGCTAAGGCAATAGAATTGCTTGAACCTGGCGGCGGAGGTTGTGGTGAGCTGAGATCGCATGACTGCACTCCAGCCTGGGTGTGGAGCGAAACTCACGTCTCAAAAAAAAAAAGCTGGGATTTAAAATTAGATTACCAGGGTTCATTATGCTTTCCTGTTCTTGAGCTATGTGATACTGGGATGTAACTTGATGTGTCTAGGGTTTGGTTTTCCTTAGGTATAAAATGGGCACAGTGATAAAAATCTCAAAGGTTTGCAAGGATGAAGTAAGATGATTCAGTCTGTCAATAAATGTTAGCTGTATTATCAGTACAGTCAGGCACCTCGTAACATTTTGGTCACTGATGGACTGCATATATGATGGTGGTCCTGGAAAAAGCATATTTTCACTGTTCCTTTTCTGTTTAGATACACAAATGCCATTGTGTTAACAGCATTCAGTACAGTAACATGCTGCACAGGATTGTAGCCTAGAAGCAGTAGGCCATACCACATAGCCTAGTTGTATAGTAGGCTATTTTCATCTAAGTTTGTATAAATACACATTTGTTCAATGACAAAAGGCAACACATTTTTCAAAATGTATTCCCGTTGGGCATAGTGGTTCATACCTATAATCCCAGCATTTTGGGAAGCTGAGACAGGTGTATCACTTGAAGTCAGGAGTTTGAGACCAGCCTGGCCAACATGGCAAAACTCTGTTTCTACTAAAAGTACAAAAAAAATGCTCGCGTACAATGGCACAACGCCTATAGTCCCAGCTATTCAGCAAGCTGAAACAGGAGAATCTCTTGAACCTGGTAGGCGGAGGTTGTAGTGAGCTGAGACTCTGTCTCAAAAAAAAAAAAAAGTATTACCATCGCTAAGCAATGCGTGACTGTAGTAATAGTAGTTTTCTCTTCAGACCTGCTTATTGTTATGTAACATAGACTGTCTTTTGATACCCCTTACTCCTTTTTGGAGCAACATCTTCAAACATTAGGTAGACTTAATCTTGACATAGTAACTTACTAGTAACTATGGGAGTGGCAGATGAAGTTGCTTCTTCCACCAGCATTAGCAGCATTTATAAATTACAGAAAGCTTATCACACATTGACTATCAGTGGTTGGAGTTCTGTTTTGTTAACAGTCGTGTTTGCTCCTAGTAACCCAAATGCGCAACAGAGTTTTCCTAAAAGTTCAAAGCATTGTATATAGGTTGTTGATTTCACGTTTCCTAGGATGAAGGTGAGAAGGCTAGGTAATACTGTTAACAAATTATACATGAAGGAGACTAAGGACCTGAACAGGCAAAGTTCATATGATACCTATTGATCCTTAAAGTATATTGTAATAATTGTTTACTTACTTCTTGGGCATTCTCACACTTTTTTTCTTCCTTGGTTTGTTTTGGTCCCAGAGTCCGATGGGTGGTCCTTTTATTCCTGCTGCTCCTGTCAAAACTGCCTTGCCTGCTGGTCCCCAGCCCCAGCCCCAGCCCCAGCCCCCACTCCCAAGTCAGCCCCAGGCACAGAAGAGACGATTCACCGAGGAGCTACCAGATGAACGGGAATCTGGACTGCTTGGATACCAGGTTAAATAAAATACCCTGTTTTCCTATCTTCATCTTATTCTCCTATATTCTCCCTTTAAAAAAGATAAATTCACATTATTCTCCCAGTACTAGGATTTCTGCATTCTGGAATTCATTTTGGTTAGGTTTTTTGTCCTAGTCAACAGACTCTTGAAAGCCTCTGAGTGTTTTTACTTTCTTATACATCTCACTCAAAGCTATTGATCTAACAACACATGGTTTGTATTTTTAAAATCTTGGCTTTAGGCCCGCGCAGTGGCTCATGCCTGTAATCCCGGCACTTTGGGAGGCCGAGGTGGGCGGATCACCTGAGGTCAGGAGTTCGAGATAGCCTGACCAACATGGAGAAACCGCACCTCTACTAAAAATACAAAAAAATTAGCTGGGCATGGTGGTGCATGCCTGTAATCCCAGGTACTTGGAAGGCTGAGGCAGGAGAATGGTTTAAACCTGGGAGGCGGAGGTTGTGGTGAGCCGAGATCACACTGTTGCACTCCAGCCTGGGCAACAAGAGTGAAACTGTCTCAAAAAAAAAAAAAGAAACACTTGGCTTTCAGTGGTGCTATCTCTTACCCTCCACCTAAAAAAGAAAGTGATTTCTCCCTCCAGTCTCCCTACCCTTCCAAACTGCTAGAAAAGGAGTGATTCTGTGCATACATGTAATTATAAAGTTAGGCACTAAAGTTAAAAAGATTCTTAATTCTGGTGCAGTTTTATCAGAAGTACCTTTCCATTTTGCCAGAATCCTTGAATCAAAACCAAAGCATTTTTTATAGTTTCTAACATGGTTTATAGAAATCAGTTGAACTATGGGCAGTCAGTTAAACCAGGCAGGCCATAGAGAGCATAATGAATTACAAAATCCCTGTCCAAGAGAAAAATAAATTCCTACTTTTGACTACAGTTACACAGCAAATCCCAAAGAGCTTTGTAGTACAGTTTAACTTATTACAATTATCAGAAAGATGAGGCACTTGACAGTTACATTAAGGAGCTAAAGTCAATACAGCAGTTGTAGATTTGCTAATGCCACTGTATTTTTCTGCTCATAGCATGGACCCATTCATATGACTAATTTAGGTACAGGCTTCTCCAGTCAGAATGAGATTGAAGGTGCAGGATCGAAGCCAGCAAGTTCCTCAGGCAAAGAGAGAGAGAGGGACAGGTAAGTTGGAATAATTATACAAATGTATTCAGATGTCATTTGTATGCACCATGAGTGAGACTAATGATCATTGGTATGAGCTTAAGTGTTCTGAAACTGAAATGAAATCTTTGAATGAAATAAACTTCTGTTTGTTGTAATTGGTGCAGTGAAGAAAAATATAACGATAGGCCTTTTTCAGACATAGAAGCAGTTATACTTGGCTTTGAATAATTTACTTCTTATTCAGACATCTTTTTTGACTTCTACTGTCTGCATCTTGGCCATTTTCCTAAGGGTAGACAGTAACAGAAGTGTTATATAATTCAGCTATTTTTGCTACCTTAGAGTCATTAGAATATCATGGATGGGAAGTATGTGAATGTGGGAGTTCAGCCTGCCATACATGCAACATTTGAATTTTCTTTTCTTAGTATGTTAACCTTCATAAGAAAGGAGCTGAGTTATTTCTGTAACCGTTCAATTTTTGTCATGGCAATTGCTGTGTAGACAGGGCTTATATACTTTTATAAAGGGGCTGGAAGAAGGTGGAAGGGGTTGAAATTAATGGTTAAAATGAATTTGAAGGATTGTTTGCAGACTTAATTCCACTTCTTATTCACAGGATAAGTTAAGAAAATTTAAATTGAAAGAAAGTTTTATTTTATCTTTCCATAGGCAGTTGATGCCTCCACCAGCCTTTCCAGTGACTGGAATAAAAACAGAGTCTGATGAAAGGAATGGGTCTGGGACCTTAACAGGGAGCCATGGTAAGTATGGTATAGCTGGGGGACAGGGGAGTGACTAAGTAAGGCTGGTCTAGAGCTATTAGTTTTCTCGGCCAGGCACGGTAGCTCACGCCTGTAATCCCAGCACTTTGGGAGGCCAAGGTTGGTGGATCACCTGAGGTCAGGAGGTCAAGACCAGCCTGACGAACATACTGAAACCCTATATCTACTAAAAATAAAAAAAACTAGCTGGGCGTGGCAGGGGCTGCCTGTAATCCCAGCTACTTAGGGGGCTGAGGCAGGAGAATCACTTCAACCTGGGAGTTGGAGGTTGCAGTGAGCCAAGATCATACCACTTCCCTCCAGCCTGGGCAATAGAGTGAGGCTCTGTCTCAAAAATAAATTAATAAATAAAGCTGGGATTAGTTTTCTAACCTGATATTCATTCAGGTGTTTAATCCAACCTCTATAATCTACTGGCTAATGAAAATACTTTTGGGCCAGGCACGGTGGCTCACGCCTGTAATCCCAGCACTTGGGAGGCCGAGGCAGGCGGATCACCTGAGGTCAGGAGTTTGAGACCAGCCTGGCTAACACAGAGAAACTCCGTCTCTACTAAAATAGAAAAATTAGCCAGCTTGGTGGTATGTGCCTGTCATCCCAGTGACTTGGAAGGCTGAGGCAGGAGAATCGTTTGAACCTGGGAAGTAGAAGTTGCAGTAAGTCAAGATCACAACACTGCATTCCAGCATGGGCAACAGATTGAGACTGTCTCAACTAAAAAAGAAAATAGTGAAAAAAAACTTGTATATGGACAACCATTTATTCCAACCAACATGCGTCTAGGAAAGGGCTAGTCAACTTATTTTATACATAGCATCAGTGACATTAAAACCCTAGGGAATACTAATGAGTGCTAGGTCATATCAAAATCCTGTTGCCTATGTTGTGTGAATACCTGGAGTTAATCTGATACGGACTTCCTAAAAGTTGATTTTGCTTTGTATTGGGAGCTGAGCCACACCTCCCCTTATAGTTCTCTTGGTCAATCTGTGGCTGTTAGGAAAGTACTGCTTTTTAGCATCCCAGAACTCTAAATCCTATAGACGGATATGGAATATTTTTGTTCTTTGCCTGTAGTCATAAAAATGAACAGAAGAAAATTCACGTTTTTTTCTTTTCTTCTTTTCTTTTAACTCTTTAAAAGGTGAAATATCAGCCCTCAAGAGACTCACTTGCTAACTTTCCTTTTTTTCTTTTTTCTTTTTTTTGTGTTTCTTTTTTCTTTCTCTGTTTTCTTACATGGTTCTGGTGGATTCACATTTGCTGATGCCGGTGCTGTTTTTCGTGTGATCTTCAACGGTTTTGGGCGACCACTGACCCTATGACCTCAAAATGGTGTCCAACTAACCACTTAAAATTAACATCTTTTTTTTATTAACGAATTTATGGTATTATCTTTTTTTGTTGTTTTTTTTTTTTCCCTTGGTGGGGATGGGGTTGGGGTTGTTTTTCTCTATTCTAGATTATCCAGCCAAGAAGATGAAAACTACAGAGAAGGGATTTGGCTTGGTGGCTTATGCTGCAGATTCATCTGATGAAGAGGAGGAACATGGAGGTCATAAAAATGCAAGTAGTTTTCCACAGGGCTGGAGTTTGGGATACCAGTATCCTTCATCACAACCACGAGCTAAACAACAGATGCCATTCTGGATGGCTCCCTAGGAAACTGTGGAACAGAGTTTTGACCCTCGGTGACTCTTCTTAGCAATAATGCATGCATTTGATTTAACAAGACTCTGGGGCCTGTGCTGGGAACCATCTTGGATCTTTGCAGAAGTTAGAGATTCAATGCCCCCTTTCTTAAAGGGGTTCCTTAAAAAAAAAAATCCTTATTTCTGCGGTGGCATAGAATCTTAAAATTTAATTAGAATCATAAATTTATCTCAGAAGCTTTTTAACAGTTGGTGAAACGTGCTTGTCCAACAAAGCGTCCTAAAACAGGGTCGTTCCCATACACGTTTGACCTGGTCCAGCCTCTTCCAAATGAATAGCCCCAATTCTGACTTAAAGAAAGTTTTATTTGTATTTTAGTACTGTTTGGTCAATTTTGATACATAACTGGTTACAAAGCCTTACTGTTTATTAATGGGAAATGATTTTAGACCGTTCTTTTTGGTATTTAATTCTGACAGATCTGCATCCCTGTTTTGTTTTGGATTATTTCTGTTTTGGAAAATGCTGTCTCATTTAAAACTGTTGGATATAGCTGGATCCTGGATAGGAAAATGAAGTTATTTTTTTCATTGTGTTTTTTAATTGGGGTGATCCAAAGCCGGCACCTTCAGACACATTTGTCTTATAGCCATTGCTGTTTTTATTGCCCTTCTAAGATCCTGTCTTCAGCTGGGTCAGAGAAAACAAGAATTCTTGACTAGAACTGGTCAGAACTCATCACACAAATGAAACACAGTAGTCTGTCTCTCTCAGAACTGTTTGCAGCTAAAATGGAGAGATCTGACTGCCTGCAGTAGGACTTTGGACTTAATGACTGAAATTGCAACTTGTCCTTTTTCTTGGCATTACAGGTTTTGCCAAAAGAACTTTTTTGTATCAAATCTTGATGTGTGAAAGTGAAGGAGCTAGTCTGCTGAACCAGGAGTAGTTTGAGATACTGAACTGTCATTTTTGCACATTTGAATACTTTGCAGGCTGGCTTTGTATAAACTTACCCTCTGGTTTCCTATATGTTGTAAATATTGAGACCATAATTTCATTATAAATAAATGTATAAATATTCTGTTTGCGGTTTCTCTGTTTTCTTCCACAACCCATCCATACACTAAAATTCATAAACTTGTTTACTCATAGCCTAATGCAATATAATATCAGAAAAATACATATACAGACCCCAAGATTTACATTTAGTTCCGAGAGTTCTGTAACTGCAAAATGTACACTTAAAGTTCCATTTTCATATTTTAGCCCTCCTTAATTAAACAGACTGTTAAAGAGACTTCATGGGCCGGGCGTGGTGGCTCACACCTGTAATCCCAGCACTTAGGGAGGCCAGGGTGGGTGGATCACGAGGTCAAGAGATTGAGACCATCTTGGTCAACATGGTGAAACCCCGTCTCTACTAAAAATACAAAAAACTTAGCTGGGCGTGGTGGCGCGTGCCTGTAATCCCAGCTACCCAGGAGGCTGAGGCAGAAGAATTGCCTGAACCCAGGAGGCGGAGGTTGCGGTGAGCCAAGATCGTGCCATTGCACTCCAGCCTGGGTAACAAGAGTGAAACTCCGTCTCAAAAAAAAAAAAGACTTCATGAATGAAGCCTATTTTATTTTATTTTTGAGATGGAGTCTCGCTCTGTTGCCCAGGCTAGAGTGCAGTGGCACGATCTTGGTTCACTGAAACCTCTGCCTCCTGGGTTCAAGCGATTCTCACCTCAGCCTCCTGAGTAGCTGGGATTACAGGCACGCGCCACCACACCCAGCTAATTTTTGTATTTTTAGTAGACGGGGTTTCACCATGTTAGGCTGGTCTCAAACTCCTGACCTCATAATCCACCTGCTTTGGCCTCCCAAAGTGCTGGGATTACAGGCGTGAGCCACCACACCTGGCCCTGTTTTATTTATTTTTTTTGAGACGGAGTTTCACTCTAGTTACCCAGGCTGGAGTGCAATGGTGCAATCTTGGCTCACTGCAACCTCTGACTCACAGGTTCAAGCAATTCTGCCTCAGCCTCCTGAGTAGCTCGGATTACAGGTGCAAGCCACCATGCCCCACTAATTTTGTATTTTTATAGAGATGGGGTTTCTCCAATTGGATAGGCTAGTCTCCAACTCCTGACCTCAGGTGATCTGCCCTCAGCCTCCCAAAGTGTTGGGATTACAGGTGTGAGCTACCTCGCCCAGTGAATGAAGCAGATTTTAAAGGAAATAGATTACTCTTGGAAAGCCTTTTTATTTTTTGAGATGGAGTTTTGCTGTGTCGGCTAGGCTGGAGTGCAATGGTGCAGTCTTGGTTCACTGCAACCTCTGCCTCCCGAGTGATTCTCCAATGTCAGCCTCCTGAGTAGCTGAGATTACAGGTACCTACCCCATGCCTGGCTAATTTGTATTTTTAGTACAGACAGGATTCCACCATATTGGCCAGGCTGGTCTCGAGCTCTGGACCTCAAGTGATCCGCCCAGAAAGACTTTTTTTTTTGGAAACCCGAGTCTTGCCCTGTTGCAAGGGTGGAGTGCAGTGGCTCGATCTAGGCTCACTGCAACATCCACCTCCTGTGAGTAATTGGGACTACAGGCATGTGCCACCATGCCCTGCTAATTTTTTTGTATTTTTAGTCGAGGGGGGGTTTCGCTATTTTGGCCAGGATAGTTGATCTCTTGATCTTGTGATCCACCTGCCTTGGCCTCTCAAAGTGCTGGGATTACAGGCGTTAGCCACCGTACCTGGCCCAGAAAGACATTTAAAAATAACAGTTGTGGGAGCGAGGGTGGGGGATGATAAAACAGTTGTGGACAGAGCTGCATCAGAACAATTTTCCAGTGTCAGTTTCTTCTAGCATCTGTGCTACCTAAATAGTCTGTTTAAAACAAGGTTTTGTGTATCTTATATGTGTTTAAAATATAGAACTCTGGTTAGGAAGTGTGAAATCTAGTTTTTGAGAATGAATCGAGGTTTCAATAGCCAAAGTCTTTGTGGCTGCTCCTTTGGGAAAGTGATTTTTCTGCTATGAAGCATTTATCTTGATCCCAATCCTGTGTTAGGAGGATTTGGGGAGTGCCCCTTTCCTCACTTCCTCTTAACTGTATTATGCCAAATTAGTTTCGTTTTGTTTCACAAGCAGCAAACAACTCTGGGTAAGTTGTTAACGTTTTTAGTGTCCCTGCATGTCTGTTATCACTTACTCTTTGGTTTTGTGTAAATAATTTACTTTCTACTCCTGATTACCCATGTCTGTGTGTGCATACACCCTAGGCTGGATAGGTGACCAGAAGGCCTTTAGCGGTGAGTCCCGGAACTGGGTTTAGGGACCTGGGGTGGGAAGGGATGGGAAGAGGCGGGAAGAAGGCGGGGCAGGCTGTGGGGCGTCATGGGGCGGCCCCGCCCCTCCATCCGCGACGGGCGCCAGTGGCGCCATCTTACCCAGCTGCGGGAGGGGTCACAGGTCAGTACTGGATCCTCTGCGAGGGAAGGAAGACGAGGTGGGTGACCCGACAGGCCGTGGTCTTCCAGGCCCCACTGACCCGCAGGAGCAGTAGGGCATCGGCTTGTGAGGCAGAGGGGTGGGGAGTCTGGTGGCGGAGGAGCAGCTGGGGGCCGGGATGGGTCTCAGAGGAGAATGGGGAGGGGGTGGAACCTCCGGGTACCTCGGACGTGAGAGGACCCCTGTGGCTTAAGGGGCCGCATCCTTTTCTTCCCAAAACTTTCGGTTTATCCCTACTGTGCCGGGATCTAAATGTCTTTGTATCTTTTTATGTTTCTCCTTGGAAAAAGTAAAACCTGTGATATGTCATGTGACTGAACTGTCTAGGAGGGAGGGTGAAGATTTGGGGGGTTTCTTAGAGCCACCAGAAAGGGTGCAGTTCCGGTGAGCAAGAGGGACAGGCCAGCGTATGTATGGAAAGGTAAGGCACTGGTTTGAGGACTGCCGCCGTGGTGTCTCCATCCTGGATTAAGCATTTCCTCCTCCTTTTCTAGGTGGCTTTTCCTCGGGGCAGCCCAGGAAGGCCCCAAGAGGACAATGGATTCTGGAACTCGCCCTGTTGGTAGCGGCTGCAGCAGCCCCCCTGGGCTCTCACGGGAATACAAACTAGTGATGCTGGGTGCTGGTGGTGTAGGGAAGAGTGGTAGGTAACATTTTCCATTTGACAGGAAGTATGGATGAAAAGTACTTAAATGATCAGATGGGATACTGGCTATCTTGCAGTGTTAATACTTAAAATTCTCTCTATGGGTCACCTTTGTGAGGATTTGACTTTTATGTCTTGTGTTGAAGCCATGACCATGCAGTTCATCAGTCACCGATTCCCAGAAGATCATGATCCCACCATTGGTAAGTAAGATCATCACTCTGTTTCCAAATTACCCCATAAAAATATCTTAATTAATATCAATGGTTTCTAACTATTTATATTTTGAGCCTTTTTTTGGAGTCTAATTCTGATTTATTTAGAAACAAGGGTATCAGCAGTTGGTAAGCAAGTGAATATTTCTTTTTTTCCAGACTTAACTCTATATGTCATAAGCCATCTTTATTTAGTCTCTGTCTCTTATTGAACATTAATGGGACAACTCTCTTTGTTGTATTTTTTTATGGTTGTATAGAGGCCACTTAACGAAGCTTTTTCTTGCTGTCACTTCTCTAAGGGCATGACTTGAGACTGACTCTGTAACTGTGAGTCAGCTGGTTTGAACTTCCACAAAAGGAAGCAGAAAAACAAGTAGAGCCAGCCTGCTGAACTCTGACAACCCAGATGAGCAGAGCCTGGAGGTCTTGCACTTGGAGCTCTTCATTTGCTTCCTTATATCTTAAGTTCATCGTATAGTAATGCCTTCTCCCATATCTTTTTCTTTTCTTTTTTTTTTTTTTTTTTTGAGACAGAGTCTCCCACTGTCACCCAGGCTGGAGTGCGGTGGCATGATCTCTTCTGGGTTCAAGATTCTCCTGCCTCAGCCTCCTGAGTAGCTGGGATTACAGGTGCCTGCCACCACCACTGCCCAGTTAATTTTATTTATTTTTATTTATTTATTTATGTATTTATGTATTTATTTTTTGAGGCGGAGCTTCGCTGTTGTTACCCAGACTGGAGTGCAATGGCGCCATCTCAGCTCACCACAACCTCTGCCTTCTGGGTTCAAGCAATTCTCCTGCCTCAGCCTCCTGAGTAGCTGGGACTACAGGCGTGTGCCACGATGCCCAGCTAATTTTTGTATTTTTAGTAGGGACGGGGTTTCACCATGTTGACCAGGATGGTCTCGATCTCTTGACCTCGTGATCCACCTGCCTCGGCCTCCCAAAGTGCTGGGATTATAGTCGTGAGCCACCACGCCCAGCCCCTTATTTATTTTTTTGAGACGGAATTTCGCTCTTGTTACCCAGGCTTGAGTGCAATGGCACGATCTTGGCTCACCGCAACCTCCACATCCTGGGTTCAGGCAATTCTCCTGCCTCAGCCTCCTGAGCAGCTGGGATTACAGGCACACGCCACCATGCCCAGCTAATTTTTTGTATTTTTAGTAGAGACGGGGTTTCACCATGTTGACCAGGATGGTCTCGATCTCTTGTCCTCGTGATCCACCTGCCTCAGCCTCCCAAAGTGCTGGGATTATAGGCATGAGCCACCGTGCCCAGCCCTAATTTTTTTGTATTTTTAAGAGATGGAGTTTGACTGTGTTGGCCAGGCTGGTCTTGAACTCCTGACCTCATGATCTGCCTGCCTCGGCCTCCCAAAGTGCTGGGATTACAGGCATGAGCCACTGCATCCGGCCTTCCTGTCTTTTATAGTCTTTAACTTTATTTATTTTTTTTTTTTTGAGATGGGGTTTTGTTCTTCTTGCCCAGGCTGGAGTGCAATGGCAGGATCTCAGCTCACTCCAACCTCTGCCTTCCATGTTCAAGTGATTCTACTACCTCAGCTTCCCAAGTAGCTGGGATTAAAAGCATGCACCACCACTCCTGGCTAACTTTGTATTTTTAACAGAGATAGGTTTCTCCATGTTGGTCAGGCAGGTCTCAAACTCCTGACCTCAGGTGATCGACCCATCTTGGCCTCCCAAAGTGCTGGGATTACAGGCATGAGCCACCGCACCCAGTCGATAGTCGTTAACTCTTGATGCAGAATGCTAGTGGAGTAAAAATGTCATTTTGTTTGCTCTGACTTTTTGTTTTTTTAATTGCTAGTCTCTACAAAGAGTAAGGACATTACTGTCATTCCTAAACCATAAGGAAGCAGGTGTGATCCTAAGAGTTTATATTCTAATATGACAGAAAAATGGATATGGGAATGGGAGAGGGCACAGAAAGTCAGCTATACTACTATTATTTTCAGTATGTGACACTCTTTGCCATGATCCTAGTTCTCTAGGAAGGATTTCCATTGGGTTAGGCCTCTGCTGCTCTGTTTCCCACAGAGCCGATAATGTTTTGCGGTGGCCCAGCCTTGGATGTGGTCATTTTATACATTAGATGATTCCAGGGATTGGGAAAAATAGAAGAAGTTCTTGACTTTTTCATGTACTATATCAAATTTAGAACATTGTTCAGAGATTTAAATTATGGTGGGAGTTCTAGGAATAAATGAATTTAGGGCTTATGATAATTTACTTGAGAACTCCAGAAGCATCTTTTCCCTTCTTTAAAGTAAAGCTCATATACTCATCTCCTGTAAGAGTTACGTTTGTTTTTGTTTTTTTTTGAGACGGAGTTTTGCTCTTGTTACCCAGGCTGGAGTGCAATGGTGCGATCTCGGCTCACCGCAACCTCCACCTTCTGGGTTGAGGCAATTCTCCTGCCTCAGCCTCCTGAGTAGCTGGGATTACAGGCACACGCCACTATGCCCAGCTAATTTTTTGTATTTTTAGTAGAGACGGGGTTTCACCACGTTGACCAGGATGGTCTTGATCTCTTGACCTCGTGATCCACCCGCCTCGGCCTCCCAAAGTGCTGGGATTACAGACGTGAGCCACTGCGCCCAGCTTGTTTTTGTTTTTGTTTTTGTTTTTGAGACATAGTCTCACATTGTTGCCCAGGCTGGAATGCAGTGGTGCAATTTCTGCTCCCTGCAACCTCCACCTCCCGGGTTCAAAGATCATCCTGACTCAGCCTCCTGAATAGCTGGGATTACAGGTGCCTGCCACCATGCCCAACTAATTTTTATATTTTTATTAGAGACAGGGTTTCACTATAATGGCCAGGCTGGTCTCGAACTCCTGACCTCGTGATCCATCCATCTCAGCCTCCCAAAATGCTGGGATTACAGGCATGAGCCATCATGCCCAGCCCAAATTATCTGTCTTAATCAATTTTCCCCCAGTTAACTACTTTCCTGACAATATTATCTGACTCAACAGCACATACTTACGTCTTCTGAGTTTCTGTTACGTACCAAGGACTGCTTAGCCTGTGGGTACAGTGGTGAACAAAAAGATGCGGTTTCTGTTCTTGAGTTTATAGTTTAGTGCATTTGGTTTCAAACTCTGGCTGTATACTCAGAAAAACTTTACATCATAACTAGTAGAGATATAAAAGCATACAAGGCCTAGCGTGGTGGCTCATGCCTGTAATCCTGTAATCGCATTACTTTTGGGAGGCCAAGGCGGGCAGATCACCTGAGGTCAGGAGTTTGAGACCATACTGGCCAACATGGTGAAACCCCATTTCTACTAAAAATACAAAAATTAGCTGGGTGTGGTAGCACACACCTGTAATCCCAGGTACTCAGGAAGCTGAGGTGGGAGAATTGCTTGAACCCAGGAGGTGGAGGTTGCAGTGACCCAAGGTCGCACAACTGTACTCCGGCCTGGGCAACAGAGTAAGACTCTGTCTCAAAAAAAAAAAAAAGTATATGAATGTGTGCATATGTATGTATTAAATTATATATACAATTATATATACAAGTATACGTGTATATGTAACTAAAATATTACGTAACTTTACTTACCTCTTTTTCTTTTCTTTCTTTTGAGGCAGGGATTCACTCTGTTGCCCAGGCTGGAGTGCAGTGGTGTGATCTTGGCTCACTGCAGCCTGGACCTCCTGGGTTCAAGTGATCCTCCCACCTCAGCTTCCCAAATACCTGGGACTACAGGCTTGTGCCACTACACCCAGCTAATTTTGTTTTTTTTAGTAGACATGAGGTCTCGCTCTGTTGCCCAGGCTGGTCTTGAACTCTTGAGCTCAAGTGATCTCCCCTTGCCCTCCCAAAGCACTGGGATTACAGCCATGAGAGCCCCTGTACCTGACCCACTGTGGGTCTTTTTTTTTTTTTTCTCCTGAGACAGAGGCTTGCTCTGTTGCCAGGCTGGAGTGCAGTGGCACAGTCTCGGCTCACTGCAACCTCCGCCTCCCGAGTTCAAGTGATCCTTCCACCTCAGCCTCCCAAGTACCTGGGACTACAGGCGTACGCCACCACACCCAACTAATTTTTGTATTTTTGGTAGAGATGGGGTTTCACCATGTTAGCCAGGATGGTCTCGATCTCTTGACCTCATGATCCTCCCTCCTCTGCCTCCCAAAGTGCTGGGATTACAAGCGTGAGCCACCACGCCCAGCCCACTCTGGTATTTTCTACTTTTATTAAGTTTCTGCTTGTTTATTTGAATGCTGGTCTCAGCCCATTAAGTAGATTTCACAACTCACTAATCCTAAGGAATTATTGAGAAGCATTGATTTAGTTGGCTCTTCATCTTTGAAGAAGAGTCAGAAGCAAGAATTCAAGAAAAAATGTTAAAAGGAAATACATTGAGATGTAAATAGTTGTTAAGTGAATAAAATGTTGAGTGGTGTTTTCTAAGGTTACTATAATAATATACATAAAGAAATTTGCTTTCAGAAAAGAGAAATTACAAAACTGTCGATTATTTAGAATATAGTGAATTAGGCTGGGCATGCTTCCTGAGAAAATTTGGGCATTTAATGAATTTGGGTTGAATCTACTACTCTGTAAAATGAGTTTTAAATTGGCATTTCTTCCTGCATTTATGACTTTATAGTACACCTTTCTTCCCTCCTGTAGAAGATGCTTATAAAATCAGGATCCGTATTGATGATGAGCCTGCCAATCTGGACATTTTGGATACAGCTGGACAGGTATTAAATCCCAGAATGTTATAAGTAAATGCTTTTTTACTCTAGTAGAGGGGAGGGGAAGGCCTATACAGAGAAGATCACTAGTTTATCTCTTAATTTTTCATGCACTCTGACTCAGGACAGCAGGTAATTGACATGCATTTTTAAAAATCTGAAATAAATAGCTAATTGTGTGTGTAGTAGTGCTAGGTTGCATCAGTACATAATGACGCTTGTTTCCCTATAGGCAGAGTTTACAGCCATGCGGGACCAGTATATGAGGGCAGGAGAAGGGTTTATTATCTGTTACTCTATCACTGATCGTCGAAGTTTCCATGAAGTTCGTGAGTTTAAACAGCTTATTTATCGAGTTCGACGTACTGATGATACACCTGTGGTTCTTGTGGGAAACAAGTCAGACCTCAAACAGCTAAGACAGGTGAGGATAGAGAGGAAAATACTGTCTATAATCTTGTGTAATAAATCATTTTTGTTTCTTGGCTTACAGATTGTTTTGACTTCAAATAGAAAATCAGGCTGGGTGAGATGGCTCACGCCTATAATCCCAGCACTTTGTGGGGCCAAGGTGGGCAGACTGCTTGAGTTCGGGAGTTCAAGACCAGCCTGAGCAACATGGCGAAACCCCATCTCTACAAAAAAAATACAAAAAAACGTAGCTGGACATAGTGGTGCGTGCACATGTGGTTCCAGCTAGTTGAGAGGCTGAGGTGGGAGGATTCCTTGAGCTGGAGAGGTGGAGGTTGCAGTGAAATTGAGACTACAGCTCACTGTAGCCTCTACCTCCCCAGCTCAAGCAATCTTCCCACATCACCTTTGAGGGTAGCTTGGGACCACAGGTGTGTGCCACCACTTCTGGCTAATTCTTTTACTTTTTGTGGAGACAGGATCTCACTATGTTGCCCAGGCTGGCCTTGAGCACCTGGCTTCAAGTCAGCTTTCTGCCTCCGCCTCCCAAAGTGTTGGGATTACAAGTGTTAGCCACCACACCTGGCTGGAAGTAGTTTGGTAGTAGTCAAATTCGTCATGCTTCTCAGTTAATCCCCATTGGGAAAAAATTTTCAGGGATTTATATATAACATGTTCGTTGCAAAGCTATTTATGGTAGCAGAAAATAAGAAACAGCCTAACTGTCCAAAGTAGAAATTATGCAATATCCATAATTAGATAAATCAATTATGGGCTCCTAAGAGTTTTCAATATTTTAGTGTAAGTATGTATCTCCCTTCCCTTGTGTTTCTTTTTCTTTTTTCTTTATTTTTATTTAAAAATTTTTGTTTGGCGCAGTGGCTCACGCCTGTAATCCCAGCACTTTGAGAGGCCGAGGTGGGTGGATCATGAGGTCAAGAGATTGAGACCATCCTGGTCAACATGGTGAAACCCCATCTCTACTAAAAATACAAAAAATTAGCTGGGCATGGTGGCGTGTGCCTGTAATCCTAGCTACTCAGGAGGCTGAGGCAGGATAATTGCCTGAATCCAGGAAGCAGAGGTTGTAGTGAGCTGAGATCACGCCATTGCACTCCAGCCTGGGTAACGAGCAAAACTCTGTCTCAAAAAAAAAAAATTTTTTTTTTGCCCAGGCAGGAGTGCAGTGCTGCAGTCTCGGCTCACTGCGACCTCTGCCTCCCGGGTTCAAGTGATTCTCCTGCCTCAGCCTCCTGAGTAGCTGGGATTACAGGTACCCGCCACCATGTCCAGCTAATTTTTGCATTATAGTAGAGATGGGGTTTCACCATGTTGGCCAGTCTGGTCTCGAACTTCTGACCTCGTGATCCTCCTGCCTCAGCCTCCCAAAGTGCTGGGATTGCAGGCATGAGCCACCGTACCCAGCTGTTCTTTTTTTCCTTGAGACGGTGTCTTGCTCTGTCACTGAGGCTGGAGTGCAGTGGCATAAACATGGCTCACTGCAACTTTGACCTCCTGAGCTCAAGCAATCCTCTTACCTCAGTCTTCTGAGTAGCTGGGACCACAGATGTATACCACCACATCCAGCTAAATTTTTTTGAGATAGAGTCTCACTCTGTCACCCAGGCTGGAGTGCAGTGGTATGATCTCGGCTCACTACAACCTCCAACTCCTGGGTCTAAAGCGATTCTCCTACCTCAGCCTCATGAGTAACTGGGATTATAGGTGTCCTCCACCATGCCCAGCCTTTTTTTCTTTTTTTAAGTGGAGACAGGGTTTTATCATGTTGGCCAGGCTGGTCTCAAACCCTAGACCCTCAAGTAATCCACCTGCCTCAGTCTTGCAATATATTGGGATTATAGTTGTGAGCCACTATGCCCAGCCCCAGCTAATTTTTAAAAAAATTTTTTGTAGAAATAGGGTCTCACCGTATTGCCCAGGTTGGTCCCAAGCTCTTGGGCTCAAGCAATCCTCCTGCCTCAGCCTCTCAAAGTTCTGGAATTATAGGTGCAAGCCACCAAACCGAGCCTATTTTTCTTTCTTTTTTTTTTTTTATTTGGAGAGATGGAGTTTCACTCTTGTTACCCAGACTAGAGTACAATGGCATGATCTCAGCTCACTGCAACCTTTGCCTCCTGGGATGAAGCGATTCTCCTGCCTTAGCCTCCCGAGTAGCTGAGATTACAGGCATGCGCCACCACCCCTGGCTAATTTTATATTTTTAGTAGAGACGGGGTTTCTTCCTGTTAGTCAGGCTGGTCTCAAACTCGGGACTTCAGGTGATTTGCCCACCTTGGCCTCCCAAAGTGCTGGGATTATAGGCATGAGCCACCGTGCCTGGCCTTTTCTTTCTTAAAATAAAAAGTGTGGGGAGAATTAAGACTGTGTATTTGATATCTGTAACTATTTTCTGTTCCAAAAAATATCTCAAAAATAGACTAGAAATGGAATTATATTATTTGAAGGCAGAAGAAACCTTAGAAGTCACGTAGTCTAGCCTCCCGGAATTATAAAAATCAGTGCTGTCTGCTTGAACACCTCCGGAGTTGAGAAGCTTTCTGTTAAGGTGGTGGTGCATTCCGGTGTCGGGACCTCTTTTTCTCATGTTTACTTTTAAAGGTCACCAAGGAAGAAGGATTGGCATTGGCCCGAGAATTCAGCTGTCCCTTTTTTGAGACCTCTGCTGCATACCGCTACTACATTGATGATGTTTTCCATGCCCTCGTACGGGAGATACGCAGGAAGGAAAAGGAAGCAGTACTGGCCATGGAGAAAAAATCTAAACCCAAAAGCAGTGTATGGAAGAGGCTAAAATCACCATTCCGGAAGAAGAAGGATTCCGTAACCTGAAGAGAAGATGTGCAGTGTTTATCTGTGAACTGCAGTGCTGTTTCAAAGCAGTCCAGTAACCTGCAGTCATGAGCATGGTGCTCGCTCTTTCTCCTGTTAGGACCCTTGTTTTAAAAGTAACTGATAAGAGGGACATGCCTACTAGGAGTTTTTAATGATGTGGTATTTAAAGTATTGTCTGTTAAGTATGATTTATTAACCCAGTGGAGCACTGTCTGCTTTTAAATTGTCACATTAGAATTTGATCTACCAATGTTTTGGGTTCTATTGTGCTGATATTAATGTAACTGTGTTTATACCCAGGAGAATATGTATACCATGTATGATTGACTAACTTCGCAAGGGAAGTTTTTGCCCTGCACTCCACATTATCCTTCCATTTCAGTTTCCTGGGACTATCCCAGAGAAAGACCTCAGTCTCTTCTGTTCACACTATGCTTCCTAGGGACTGAAAGAAAATCATGTAGGGAAATCAGGGCTAATGAGATCAGTGCCAAATTTCAGCAGATACTGTGGGGCTGCCTCCTGTTGCAGACTGTGGAGGGTGAGATGTGGGAAAATTAGGCTGTCTGTTTGCAGGGCTTAAAAAGGCAGGCTCAGAACAGTATTCTCAGTGCAAGCTTGGTTTTTCTAAGAAGTGCACATTTTACCCAAACGCACTGGGATGAGTGAGAACAGTCAGAAGCATATAAAATGTGATGAAGTTTTCTCCTAGGAAGTTAATTTACTGTTCATTTCAGGGTTTTCTTTTTTTACCTGCAAAGATAGACATTTTGAGAATCATAACTGTATTAACTAAACTTGTTCAATCAAAATTTGCAGTTGGGTCAGCCATTGCCTTGTCCAGGTTAATTTTTTCCCCACAGGTGCACACCCAATGTGTGTATATTAATGGCCTCCTCCTACTTTGTGCTCTGTAGAAGAGCTACAGTGGAAAGATGTTTTTTTCCGACCCTGCGTCGCTGATTGCGTTTTCCATACAGAAGAGACATCAGGGGTTTGGGTAAAATTTTACCCAAAAAAGATTTTGTTGGAACACTGAGTCTAGGGATTGACGTGGACAATCACTAGACTCGGTGCGCTAACAAAGTCTCCTATTTCTGTTTAATGGGTCATTCTTAAAGCTTTAAAATTCACATAGGTGGCATCTCATCTGAAGATTTCTTTACAAGGACTTTGTAAGTTCATCTCAGGGTTATCTGAGCCTTGACCAAGTTTATCCTAAGGGAGTACCACTTTGCTTCCTGTGCATAGTTGAGAAACTGTAGTCCTAGGAAGAAACAGCTTTAAATATTGGTAGCGAATTCTCTGTTTTAAGATCAGGACTGTTTTGATATCTGACCTTGTTATATGTGGAGAGTAAAATAATGTATCACATGTTGAATATTAAATGTCACGGAAGCAATGTTCGTGTCAACTAGAAACTAAGAAGATAACTTTGTGTAGCACCTCTTGATAAGCACACAGCTCATCTTAATATTTTCCATTTTTATTAGAGGAAGTAGGACAGAGTTGTGTTTTTCTTTATAAACTAATGATAAATGTTCTAGATTTAAAGAAAAGTGACTGTTAGAACCTATTTGGCTCTGAGTAGTGGTCCCTTTTGAAGCTCCTGGAAACATTTTTGTTACCAAATAAATCATGCTTTATGGTACTCAAGCCATCCAAAAATGAAAGACCCAGAATTTGATTCTGTACAGGACAAAAATCTCACAGGAACTATAGCACTTTGGAAAAGCATCAAAAAGTAGGAAAGAAATACAGTGCAATTCTATTATGAGAATGTTTTACATTTAAACTGGTTTAGCGCCTTTTAAGTTTAATGCCATAGCTTATTACTAATGACCTGGGGAATTTTTAATAGCATTAAGCAATATATATATGTATTTTAGTAGACATGAGGTTTCACTAATTTGCCCAGGCTGGTCTCGAACTCGTGGGCTCAAGCTGTCCTCCCAATATCCTGGGATTACAGGCATGAGGCACCACCTGGCCCAAGCAAGAAATTGACAAATTATTATTATTTGATATGGAGTCTCACTCTGTCACCCAGGCTGGAGTGCAGTGACATAATCTCAGCTCACTGCAACCTCAGCCTCCCGAGTAGCTGGACTACCGGTGCCCACCACCATGCCTGGCTAATTTTTGTATTTTTAGTAGAGAGAGTTTCCATCGTATTGGCCAGGCTGGTCTCGAACTCCTGACATTGTGATCTGCCTGCCTCGGCCTCCCAGCGTGCTATGATTATAGGCATGAGCCACTGCGCCTGGCCAACACCATATAATTAAGGTAGTCAGGCAGTAGAGAATATTGCCAGAAAGATAGAAGGGAATTTGGATTATATATAAGGAAAATAACAAATAGTTGTTTTAAATTTAAGACTATCACTGTCATATATTAAATCCTTGTATTAATTAGTCCATCCATTAGTACCAAAGAGTTCTATTGGAGGTGCTAGGTAGTTTGACAGGTATAATATGCATAAGTCATAGCTCTATTCTTAGTGCCATAAAGTGTAGCTAATTTATAAGCTCTAAGTAATCAGCTTTATCCAATTTGAGGGCATTAAAATTAATTACTGCCTAGAACTTTGAAAAGAAAAATTCAGGGATAAGTTGAAAGGCACTGGAACTGCTCATGTCTGTACCAGACCAGTAAATTATAAGATCCAGATGTTAGTGTCTAGAATTAGCTCTCTAGAATTCACAGGGGACATATTTCAACTTTGTCATATATTAGCAAAAATTGGTCTACTGTGATGTTTGGGGAGGAGGAAGAGGGAAAAAGTTTTTTAATGCGCTTGTGTGTGAAGACAGTTTGTATGACATAAACAAAACTTTTAAACAACTTGGGCTTTCCTTTACTTACCTATCAGTGGGTAGAATTTTTGGAATCATTGCAAAAGGGTTAAGAAAAACATACCATGAGATGTTACATTCTGGAAAACACAAATTCAAAAAATTTGAGTGCCCACCATGTACAAAACACCTACGTCATGGAGTCCTCCTTCATTTGAAGAGATCACCTCTTGGGAGCAGACAGGAAAAACATGGAAAATGACAGTACATTTGCTACCTGACAAGGGTTACTTAAAGTTGTTAAAAGTATGCTAAATGAGAATTGAAAGTGATAATTTTTTTACATGAAGGTCATTTTATCTCCATTACTCTAAATGGTCACCAGTGTTGGTAGAGAGGACGTAGTTTGGACATTAAACAAATGGTTTTTTTGTTTTGAGACGGAGTCTTACTCTGTTACCCAGGCTGCAGTGCAGTGGCATGATCTGGGCTCACTGCAGCCCCTGCTCCCTGGGTTCAAGTGATTCTCTCACCTCAGCCTCCTGAGTAGCTGGGATTATAGATGCGCACCACGATAAGCAGGTAATTTTTGTATTTTTTTTGTTTTGTTTTTTAGCGATGTTTCACCTTGTTGGTCAGGGTGGTTTCAAACTCCTGACCTCAGATGATCCACCCACCTTGGCCTCCCAAAGGGCTGGAATTACAGGTGTGAGCCACCATGCCCCGCCAATTTTTGTATTTTTAGTAGAGACAGGGTTTCACCAATTTGGTCAGCCTGGTCTTGAACTCCTGACTTCAAGTGATCCACCACCTCAGCCTCCCAAAGTGCTGGGATTATAAGCGTGAGACTGCACCCAGCCTGTTTTAGTTTAAAAAAGACCATCTCCTGTCTGTTAGGCTGGAGTGCAGTGGTGTGATCATGGCTCACTGTAACCTTGAACTCCTGAGTTTAAGGTGATCCTCCTGCCTCAGCTTCTTCAGTAGCTGGGACTACAGGCATGTGCCACCACTCCATGCTAGATTTTTACATTTTTCTATAGAGTCGGGTCTTGAAGTCCTGGCCTCAAGTAATCCTCCTGCCTCAGCCTTCCAAAGTGCTAGGATTACAGGCTTGAGCCACCTCACCTGGCCCAGGAGTGGATTTTTTGTCCTCATTATTTAACTTTTATTTTTTCAAAACAGAGTCTCTGTCGCCCAGGCTGGAGTGCAGTAACACCATCTCGGCTCAGTGCATCCTCTGCCTCGTGGGTTCAAGTGATCCTTGTGCCTCAGCCTCCCAAGTAGCTGGGATTACAGGTGTGCACCACCACGCCTGGCTAATTTTTTGTACTTTTAGTAGAGACGGGGTTCACCATGTTGGCTAGGCTGGTCTCGAACTCCTGATCTCAAGTAATCTGCCCACCTCGGCCTCCCAGTGTTGGGATTACAGGCATGAGCCACTGTGCCTAGCTTGGCATTCCATTTTCTAACCTCTGTTAGAATAGGTGATAGAATTTCAGGTGAATTATTTATAAGCCTCTTCCATGCACTAAGCACTGTTTGAAAGAGTTGTGGGGGATTCAAAGGAATATAGATTATCAGAGGAATATAGAATATGGGCCGGCATGGTGGCTCATGTCTGTAATCCTAGCACTTTGGAAGGTGGAGGCGGGCAGATTGCCTGAGCTCAGGAGTTTGAAACCAGCTTGAGAAACATGGTGAAACCCTGTCTCTACTAAAATACAAAAACAACAACAACAACAACAAAAAGGCTGGGCATGCTGGCTCATGCCTGTAATCCCAACCCTTTGGGAGGCCGAGGCAGGCGGATCATGAGGTCAGGAGATCAAGACTCCTGGCCAACATGGTGAAACCCCATCTCTACTAAAAATACAAAAATTAGCTGGGAATGGTGGTGCATACCTGTAATTCCAGCTACTCAGGAGGCTGAGGCAAGAGAATCACTTGAACCCAGGAAGCGGAGGTTGCAGTGAACCGAGGTTGCCACTGCACTCCAGCCTGGTGACAGAGCAAGACTCTGTTTCAAAAAAAGAAAAAGAAAAAAAACCTGGGCATGGTGGCCTGTGACTGTAATCCCAGCTATTCAGGAGGCTGAGGCACAAGAATCGCTTGAACCCAGGAGGTGGAGGTTACAGTGAGCCAGGATCATGTCACTGCCTGGGCACTAGTGAGACTGTGTATAAAAAATAAATATATATAATCTGGAGCTTCCATAAAATTTGTATATATTAAACAACTAGAGATCAGTCTTAATGTAATAAGTTATAGCTTCAAACTAGAAATGTTATGGGAATTCAGAAAAGGAAGGAATTAGTAAATTTAGTAGACTAAATAATAGTAAATTTAAATTTAGTAGACTAAATAAGTCATTGGTAGTGTTATCCCTTTTCCAAACTCATACAGAAATTTGAAATCTTGCTGGGTGTGGTGGCTCATGCCCTTCATCCCATCACTTTGGGAGGCCGAGGCAGGTGGATCACTCTAGGTCAGGAGTTTAAAACCAGCCTAGCCAACATGGCGAAACCCTGTCTTTACTAAAAATACAAAATTAGCCAGGTGTAGTGGCAGGTGCCTGTAATCCCAGCTACTCAGGAGGCTGAGGCAGGAGAATCACATGAACCCGGAAGACAGCTTGCAGTAAGCCAGGATCATGCCACTGCACTCCAGCCTGGGCAACAGAGCAAGACTTCATCTGAAAAAGAAAATAAAAGAAATTTACAATCAACTTTTGTTTTTGAAGTTCAGTCTCCATAGAGACTCAAAAATTGCCAATGCCAGGGTATTGGGAAAAGTTTTCAATTAGCAATAATCATGCCTCATTGGCTGTGATCCTGCCGATGTACAAAGCTATCCGATCAACTTTTCAACATGAGTTGGCCTTGAGACAAAATTACTGAACTGTTTTAGCTTTGTCTAATAATCTTTGCTTAAAAAAAAACTCACGAGGAGCTTTTGGTTCAGTGCATATATTCCACAGCACACATGATCATATCATGAAGTCACCCGGTTTTTTGAACAAAAGCTGCTGCATTGGGGATATGTGTCATTTCCTACACTTCCTGGAGCTGGTTATTGCCAGAGTTTATTCCAGTTTGCTCTGAGCCAGAAGAAAAACTTCAGCTCCAAAACATCTCTGGAAAATGCTTTCTCTAGTTTCTTGGCAGAGGAGTGTGCAGGTGAAGGGGCAGAGGCAGAGAAATGTGTGGGTCCAAGTGCTCAATACACTGCAATCCAACATAAAATCCCTGCCGCCCGGGAAGGCATGCAGCTCAATCTAGTCAGCCAGAGAAGTAACGTGCAGTCCCACCCAAAACATTCTGGACACTCTTACGTTCATGTCCTTTGACTCCTGAAGAGACATAGATGAATCTAGTTGCAACTAACACATACCTACCACCACCACCAAAAAAGACAAAACCAAAATTCAACATTATACCAAACTTCTTTTGAAATTCCAACTTAGAATAAGTAGGAAGAAGAAACAAAGCCTTTTTTTTTTTTTTGAGACGGAGTTTCACTCTTGTTACCCAGGCTGGAGTGCAATGGTGCCATCTCGGCTCACCGCAACCTCCGCCTTCTGGGTTCAGGCAATTCTCCTGCCTCAGCCTCCTGAGTAGCTGGGATTACAGGCATACGCCACCATGCCCAGCTAATTTTTTGTATTTTTAGTAGAGACGGGGTTTCACTATGTTGACCAGGATGGTCTCGATCTCTTGACCTCGTGATCCACCCGCCTCGGCCTCCCAAAGTGCTGGGATTACAGGCGTGAGCCACCGTGCCCGGCCCAACAGAGCCTTTTCATGTTTGCTTTAAGTCTGCTTCCCAGACCATCTCTTGTTCCTTGCCTGCCTGCCTTTATTGGGTACCTGCTGCACGCCAGACAATGTGTTGGCATTGGGAATTCAACAGTAAAAAAAAACAAGCTCATGGTTCTTGGAGTCTCAGTTCTTTTCAGTGGGCACCTCTAATTGTAACGTGCAAAATCTGACAGGGATTTGGATTGAACAGTGGGAGAATGAGAAGGAGTAAGGGACACAGCAATTTCAACTGCTTGGTAAACAATAATTAGCCGGGCGCGGTGGCTCACGCCTGTAATCCCAGCACTTTGGGAGGCTGAGGCAGGTGGACCATAAGGTCAAGAGATTGAGACCATCCTGGTCAACATGGTGAAACCCTGTCTCTACTAAAAACACTAAAAATTAGCTGGGCATGGTGGCCTGTGCCTGTAATCCCAGCTACTCAGGAGGCTGAGGCAGGAGAATTGCCTGAACCCAGGAGGCGGAGGTTGCAGTGAGCCGAGATCGCGCCATTGCACTCCAGCCTGGGTAACAAGAGCGAAACTCCATTTCAAAAAAACAAAAAACCAATAATTAAATGTTAACTTGGAAAAATACCTCAGAAGAAGCTGATTTGATGTGAGTGAATGTAAATCATGAAGATGCCTGGTTTTATCTGGGTGTGGTGGCTCATGCCTGTGATCTCAGCACTTTGGAAGGCTGAGGTGGGAAAGTCACTTAAGGCCAGCAGTTCAAGACTAGCCTGGGCAACATAGCAAGATCCCCATCTCTACAAAAATGTAAAAATTAGCTGGGTGTGCTGGCGTGTGCCTATAGTCCCAGCTACTTGAGACGTTGAGGTGGAAGGACTGCTTGAGCCCAGAAGGTCGATGCTGCAGTGAGCTATGATTGTGCCACTGGACTCCAGCCTCGGCGACAGAGCAAGACTCTGTCTAAAAAAAAAAAGAAAAAAAAGTACTATTTGAGGCGAATTACCAGCTCCCTAGGCTTAGACACAAGACTTGCTCATGAATTCCCATACTTTTATTCAAAATTTCCTGTTGGCTGGGCAAGGTGGCTCACACCTGTAATCCCAGCACTTTGGGAGGCCGAGGCAGGAGGGTCACCTGAAGTCAGGAGTTCAAGACCAGCCTGACCAACATGGTGAAACCCTGTCTCTGAAAAACAAACAAACAAACAAAAATTTCCTGTTAGCACATCTAATCCTGGGCCTGTTGAGCCTTAGGACTTCCTCTAGGAGGCTGGGCACGGT